ACGTACCGTCGTTTGTGACGTTAACGGGACCTACACAGGTGGAGGAAGGAGCACCCATCTCTCTGACTTGTGAGACAAGCAAGTCCAACCCTCCAGCATCACTACTGTGGAAGGTACAAGGTACGTCATAGTACACTGTGGGAGGTACAAGTTACGTCGCGGTATACTATGGGAGGTACAAGGTACGTCACGGTGTACTATGGGAGGTAAATGGTACGTCTTGATATGCTATAGAAGGTACAGGGAACATCATGGTATATTATGGAAGGCACAAGGTACGTCATGATGCACTATATAAGGTACAAGGTACGTTACGTACACAGGAAGGAACAAGGTACGTTACGGTACAGTGAAAGGTGAAAAGTATGTCACGGTACACGGAAGGTACAAGGTACGTCACGGTACACTGGAAGGTACAAGGTGCGTCATGGTACACTGGAAGGTACAAGGTGCGTCATGGTAAACTGGAAGGTACAAGGTACGTCATGGTACACTGGAAGGTACAAGGTACGTCATGGTACACTGGAAGGTACAAGGTACGTCATGGTACACTGGAAGGTACAAGGTACGTCATGGTACACTGGAAGGTACAAGGTGCGTCATGGTAAACTGGAAGGCACAATGTACGTCATGGTACACTGGAAGGTACAAGGTACGTCATGGTACACTGGAAGGTACAAGGTACGTCATGGTACACTGGAAGGTACAAGGTACGTCATGGTACACTGGAAGGTACAGGGTACGTCATGGTACAGTGGAAGGTACAAGGTACGTCATGGTACACTGGAAGGTACAAGGTACGTCATAGTACACTGGAAGATACAAGGTACATCATGGTACACTGGAAGGTACAAGGTACGTCATGGTACACTGGAAGGTACAAGGTACGTCATGGTACACTGGAAGGTACAGGGCACGTCATGGTACACTGGAAGGTACAAGGTACGTCATGGTACACTGGAAGGTCCAAGGTACGTCATGGTACACTGGAAGGTACAAGGTACGTCATGGTACACTGGAAGGTGCAAAGTACGTCATGGTACACTGGAAGGTACAAGGTACGTCATGGTACACTGGAAGGTACAAGGTACGTCATGGTACACTGGAAGGTACAAGGTACGTCATGGTACACTGGAAGGTGCAATGTACGTCATGGTACACTGGAAGGTGCAATGTACGTCATGGTACACTGGAAGGTACAAGGTACGTCATGGTACACTGGAAGGTACAAGGTACGTCATGGTACACTGGAAGGTACAAGGTACGTCATGGTACACTGGAAGGTACAGGGTACGTCATGGTACACTGGAAGGTACAGGGTACGTCATGGTACACTGGAAGGTACAAGGTACGTCATGGTACACTGGAAGGTACAAGGTACGTCATCGTACACTGGAAGGTACAAGGTACGTCATGGTACACTGGAAGGTACAAGATACGTCATCGTACACTGGAAGGTACAAGGTACGTCATGGTACACTGGAAGGTACAAGGTACGTCATGGTACACTGGAAGGTACAAGGTACGTCATGGTACACTGGAAGGTACAAGGTACGTCATGGTACACTGGAAGGTACAAGGTACGTCATGGTACACTGGAAGGTTCACGGTACGTCATGGTACACTGGAGGGTTCACGGTACATTAGCACGCAGTACCGTCACGGTACTGGGCGCAGTCTATTGTTATAATTACTTTAATGAGTTATGATTACTTTCTATTTTTTTTGTGAATTTTTAAAGCCAAAGGAATTTTTAAAAATAATAATATTTTTTGACTAAGTCATTTATTCAAATTTCAAACTTCAATTCCTCCCAGATATTTTCCCATGAAATTATTTTACGTTCGTATTAAATTTATGTGAGGCTCTAAACCCATGTGGGTCCATCAACGCAAGGAAAAACAATAGAAAAATTCATATTGAGCACTAAACCCATGTGGGTTATTCAGCGCAAGGCTTGATCCTCCGTCCTCTGAGGGCGAGTACATACACTCACGTCTTTCCTGACAGAGTTCATTGGTTTGATTACATTGTCTTTATTGCTTTTGAAGGACTGATTACCTCAAACTCCTCTTCTCCTTACACCTTTCTTCTTTGTATTGGATTGATGAAGCCACTGTGTGGCGAAACGTTTCCTTACACTTAACACTGACAAAACCTACTATATTATGTTTGGTAGCAGAGCAGGTGTTGCGCAACTTAACATTAAGATCGACAACACTCTAACTGCCAGACATAATGAGGGCAAATTCCTTGGCCTATACCTCGACAACAACCTAAATTTCAGCACCCATATCCAACACATAACAAAAAAAAAGTATCCAAAACGGTGGGGATCCTCTCCAAGATACGATACTTATATATCCATACCTCACCTATGCTACCTGTGCTTGGGGATCAACTGCAGCAACACATCTAAAGCCAATAATAACCCAACAAAAAGCTGCAGTAAGAATAATCACTAAATCCCATCCCTGGCAATGCCCCCCCCCCCACTCTTCATAGATCTGAACTTACTCCCTGTTCAGAACATCCACACTTACTACTGTGCAATCTACATCTACCGGACCTTAAATTCCAATATTAACCTTGACCTAAAACGCTTTCTTGATAGTTGTGACAGGATCCACAGGCATAACACCAGACACAAACATCTCTATGACATTCCCCGTGTTCGACTAAACCTTTACAAAAATTCAATATATTTCAAAGGATCTAAAATCTGGAACACCCTACCTGAAAACTCTAGAACTGCAGACACATTCATCACTTTCAAAACTACAGTTAGAAAACACCTTATCTCCCTGATACACCTCGACAACTAACTACATGATAACCACCTGGTGGTTCACACTTACACTCACTCACCCACTGACTATAAACCCAGAAATACTAATCTTAATCTTAAAATAATGAAACCTAACTAGTCATAAGTTTGCCTATGATACTCCAATATAGACACTTTGTATTGTGCTAAAACAAAAGCATTCACATTGCTAAACTCACAAATTATGATGTAGTCACTTAGCCTTAATACCATAATCTGTAAGGATTTAATGTTAAGAATTAATCTAAGTCTGCCCAAAATGCCTATCCATGCTAGGTGTCCTAGTGGCCCCCTCTGTAATTAGTATTTTATAACATGTAAACTACAAAATACCCAAAACCTGTAAACCCCACATTGTAACCATTATAGAGAATAAACTTATAGAGAATAATAAAGATTTCCGTATGTTGCATAATAGCTCAATCTTCTACTGCTTCTGTTGCCCCCTCTGTATTCGACTGAAGAAGTCAAACTGTTGAACATGCGTGTTACTTTTTAACTTGTCGGTACTTTATACCTTTATCATATTCACGTTGTGGAGGCTTGATCCTCTGTCTGTGGAGTGCGAGACAGACACCTTGTATGGGCCAGTAGGCCTTCTGCAGTGTTCCTCCATTTTTGTTATATTCTTATATACTCAAGTCCCCTTTGTCGGAGTTAGAAATAAAGACACAAGTGCAACATCTGGGAATCTTTATTGTAGACGTTTGGCCAACCAGTGGCTTTATCAGTACAAGGACGTAATGTGAAGAATTATATACTAGAGAGGGGTAATCAGTCCCTCAGCCTTGGAATTGTTGCAGAACACCGTGATGTTGCAACATCATGGAATCTTGGTACAGGGGACATCTACACAACCTTCTTGCTTACTACTGGATCATCCCCCGGGTATAACACTGGGGATTCCCACCTACCAGTAACAATGCCTTCGTCTGCTGCACCTCCCTCACCTGTCGCCAGTATATAAGCACCAAGCTCCATGACTGTGCTGCAGTTCCTTGAAAACTACGGTGCTGTTCACAACTCCAAGGCTGAGGGACTGATTACCTCAGTCCCTCAGCCTTCACATTATGTCCTTGTACTGAGAAAGCCACTGGTTGGCGAAACGTCTACAAATAATGATACCCAGATGTTGCATATGTGTCTTTATCTTGTTGGTATTGTGGACAACTTATGTACAACATGCGCAGCAGTTGGCTATTTTTATTGATGAAATGTTTCGCCTAAACAGTAGGCTTCTTCAGTCAAATACACAACAGTAGTATTGAAATAAAGATAATGTAATCAGTCCATCAACGTTGGAGAAAAAGTTTTTGAAGGGGTCAGTCCCTCAGCCTGGAGAAGAGTCCAGCTCCACGGTCTGGAACATAGTTCCGTCGAGCTGAACTCTTCTCCAGGCTCAGGGACTGACCTCCTCAAGTACTTTTTCTCCAAGGCTGATGAACTGTTTAAATCTTTATTCCACTACTGCTATGTATTTGACTGAAGAACCCTCTGTGTAGGCGAAATTTTTCATAAATAAAGATACCCAGCTATTGCACATGTGCCAATCTTCAACGTGTAAGAATTTTATGCCTTTTTTTTCAGAATAACTTGTCGGAGTACATTGATTCGAACCTAAAGTGTTAACATGTCAGGACAAGAAGACCTGGAAGCTTTACCTTTCATAAGCTCAGCTGAGTGTACTGAAAGGAATAAAAAGGCACAACAATACGGTGACTGGAACAATACACAAACAACCCGCACACAGGAGAATGAAAGTTATGACGGCGTTTTAGTCCGACATGATTCGAGTTGGACTAAAACGTCGTCATAAGTTTCAGTCTTCTATGTGCGGGTTATTTGTGAGTGTACTAACCTAGCTGACTCCTGAGACCTGGACGGAGGACCATGCCAACACCACTACTGTAAATAAGTGCTTTACAAAACTGACACTTCGATAAATGAGACAATTTTGCAGCATTTGTGTACCTTTATTCTGGAAACGTTTCGCCACACAGTGTCTTCTTCAGTCCAGTGCAGGAAAGGAGGAGTTTGAGGTAATCAGTCCCTTAGCCTTGAGTCGATCTGTTCAGTCCATCAGTCTTGTCAACATAAGATAGAATGAGTACTGTTCAGGTCTACTGGACCATGCTAGGGATCTTCAACTCATGTGAACACAGATGTAGATACGTGGAACAATCTTCCGCATTGGGTGATCGGCATTTTTGATTCTTTTGCAATTCTCATATTCATATCCAACATATTTTTAAAACTACTCAAAGTTCTCGCTACAGTGACACAACTTGGCACTTTCTTTCACTCATTTACAACTCTGTTGGCAAACGAATGTTTTCCTAACTTCTTGTCATCCTGCTGGTGACGCTGCAGGAGAGACGGTGACGGGGTCACCGGAGACGGTGGTGAGGGTGAGTGCTGGAGGCTGGGTCACCACGTCACATCTGACTCACTACAGAGTCAGGTCACGCAAGGTCACCGAGGTGGTCGTGGAGTGCCGCGCCATGAACCCTGCCATTGAACAGGTGGTCAGCAAGACGCGTATTATCTCCGTCACCAGTAAGTAACCTCAAGCTTCTTATATGTAAATATCACGTACTTAACCATTTTATAAAAAAAAATAGGTCTTCTACACATAATATAAAGAAACTCAGTCTTTTACACATTACAGAAACTCTTTATGGCTGTGTGGATAAACTACTGTGTACTCTGATGCCGAGTTTGCAGGTTCGAATCCTGCTGTGGACGGAGAAGTAATATTTGAAAACAATTTTTTCCCGTTTGTAATTTTTTTTAGCGATATATATATATATATATACATTCTTCCTTGAAGCTTTTTTATCCACTTCTCCGAGGCTATGGGCCCCACAATTTGCACCAGAGGCAGACCCCATCGTATATATATATATATTATATATATATATATATATATATATATATATATATATATATATATATATATATATGCAAGGAATTCGCGAGAGCAGGCGAAATATACACAAACACTGATCTCTGGCTGAAGGAGACTCGAACCTACGAACCTTAGGACAAGGTACGCAGTGCTTTACCAATCTACCCACACTGGACAATACCTTGGCGTGTAGCATGAGCTACACGTTTGATCCAAGGCAGCCAGCTTTCAGGGAGAAGGCTTACAGCTTTTCATCTCATCCCTGCATGCATGTATATATATATATATATATATATATATAATATATATATATAATATATATATTTTTTTTTTATTATTATTATCATACGGCCGATTCCCACCAGGCAGGGTGGCCGAAAAAGAAAAAACTTTCACCATCATTCACTCCATCACTGTCTTGCCAGAAGGGTGCTTTACACTACAGTTTTTAAACTGCAACATTAACACCCCTCCTTCAGAGTGCAGGCACTGTACTTCCCATCTCCAGGACTCAAGTCCGGCCTGCCGGTTTCCCTGAACCCCTTCATAAATGTTACTTTGCTCACACTCCAACAGCACGTCAAGTATTAAAAACCATTTGTCTCCATTCACTCCTATCAAACACGCTCACGCTTGCCTGCTGGAAGTCCAAGCCCCTCGCACACAAAACCTCCTTTACCCCTCCCTCCAACCCTTCTAGGCCGACCCCTACCCGCCTTCCTTCCACTACAGACTGATACACTCTTGAAGTCATTCTGTTTCGCTCCATTCTCTCTACATGTCGAACCACCTCAACAACCCTTCCCTCAGCCCTCTGGACAACAGTTTTGGTAATCCCGCACCTCCTCCTAACTTCCAAACTACGAATTCTCTGCATTATATTCACACCACACATTGCCCTCAGACATGACATCTCCACTGCCTCCAGCCTTCTCCTCGCTGCAACATTCATCACCCACGCTTCACACCCATTAAGAGCGTTGGTAAAACTATACTCTCATACATTCCCCTCTTTGCCTCCAAGGACAAAGTTCTTTGTCTCCACAGACTCCTAAGTGCACCACTCACTCTTTTTCCTCATCAATTCTATGATTCACCTCATCTTTCATAGACCCATCCGCTGACACGTCCACTCCCAAATATCTGAATACGTTCACCTCCTCCATACTCTCTCCTCCAATCTGATATTCAATCTTTCATCACCTAATCTTTTTGTTATCCTCATAACCTTACTCTTTCCTGTATTCACTTTAATTTTCTTCTTTTGCACACCCTACCAAATTCATCCACCAATCTCTGCAACTTCTCTTCAGAAATCTCCCAAGAGCACAGTGTCATCGGCAAAGAGCAGCTGTGACAACTCCCACTTTGTGTGTGATTCTTATCTTTTAACTCCACGCCTCTTGCCAAGACCCTCGCATTTACTTCTCTTACAACCCCATCTATAAATATATTAAACAACCACGGTGACATCACACATCCTTGTCAAAGGGCCCTACTTTTACTGGGAAAAAATTTCCCTTTTTCCCTACATACTCTAACTTGAGCCTCACTATCCTCGTAAAAACTCTTCACTGCTTTCAGTAACCTACCTCTACACCATACACTTGCAACATCTGCCACATTGCCCCCCATCCACCCTGTCATACGCCTTTTCCAAATCCATAAATGCCACAAAGACCTCTTTAGCCTTATCTAAATACTGTTCACTTATATGTTTCACTGTAAACACTGGTCCACACACCCCTACCTTTCCTAAAGCCTCCTTGTTCATCTGCTATCCTATTCTCCGTCTTACTCTTAATTCTTTCAATTATAACTCTACCATACACTTTACCAGGTACACTCAACAGACTTACCCCCCTATAATTTTTGCACTCTCTTTTATCCCCTTTGCCTTTATACAAGGAACTATGCATGCTCTCTGCCAATCCCTAGGTACCTTACCCTCTTCCATACATTTATTAAATAATTGCACCAACCACTCCAAAACTATATCCCCACCTGCTTTTAACATTTCTACCTTTATCCCATCAATCCCGGCTGCCTTACCCCCTTTCATTTTACCTACCGCCTCACGAACTTCCCCCACACTCACAACTGGCTCTTCCTCACTCCTACAAGATGTTTTTCCTCCTTGCCCTATACACGAAATCACAGCTTCCCTATCTTCATCAACATTTAACAATTCCTCAAAATATTCCTTCCATCTTCCCAATACCTCTACCTCTCCATTTAATAACTCTCCTCTCCTATTTTTAACTGACAAATCCATTTGTTCTCTAGGCTTTCTTAACTTGTTAATCTCACTCCAAAACTTTTCTTATTTTCAACAAAATTTGTTGATAACATCTCACCACTCTCTCATTTGCTCTCTTTTTACATTGCTTCACCACTCTCTTAACTTCTCTCTTTTTCTCCATATACTCTTCCCTCCTTGCATCACTTCTACTTTGTAAAAACTTCTCATATGCTAACTTTTTCTCCCTTACTACTCTCTTTACATCATCATTCCACCAATCGCTCCTCTTCCCTCCTGCACCCACTTTCCTGTAACCACAAACTTCTGCTGAACACTCTAACACTACATTTTTAAACCTACCCATACCTCTTCGACCCCATTGCCTATGCTCTCATTAGCCCATCTATCCTCCAATAGCTGTTTATATCTTACCCTAACTGCTCCTCTTTTAGTTTATAAACCTTCACCTCTCTCTTCCCTGATGCTTCTATTCTCCTTGTATCCATCTACCTTTTACTCTCAGTGTAGCTACAACTAGAAAGTGATCTGATATATCTGTGGCCCCTCTTTAAACATGTACATCCTGAAGTCCCATCAACAGTCTTTTATCTACCAATACATAATCCAACAACTACTGTCATTTCGCCCTACATCATATCGTGTATACTTATTTATCTCTTTTTCTTAAAAATATGTATTACCTATAACTAAACCCCTTTCTATACAAAGTTCAATCAAAGGGCTCCATTATCATTTACACCTGGCACCCCAAACTTACTACCACACCCTCTCTAAAAGTTTCTCCTACTTTAGCATTCAAGTCCCTACCACAATTACTCTCTCACTTGGTTCAAAGGCTCCTATACATTCACTTAACATCTCCCAAAATCTCTCTCTCTCCTCTGCATTCCTCTCTTCTCCAGGTGCATACACGCTTATTATGACCCACTTCTCGCATCCAACCTTTACTTTAATCCACATAATTCTTGAATTTACACATTCATATTCTCTTTTCTCCTTCCATAACTGATCATTTAACATTACTGCTACCCCTTCCTTTGCTCTAACTCTCTCAGATACTCCAGATTTAATCCCATTTATTTCCCCCCACTGAAACTCTCCTACCCCCTTCAGCTTTGTTTCGCTTAGGGCCAGGACATCCAACTTCTTTTCATTCATAACACACAGCAATCATCTGTTTCTTGTCATCCGCACTACATCACGCACATTTAAGCAACCCAGTTTTATAAAGTTTTTCTTCTTCTCTTTTTTAGTAATTGTATACAGGAGAAGGGGTTACTAGCCCATTGCTCCCGGCATTTTAGTCGCCTCATACGACACGCATGGCTTACGGAGGAAAGATTCTTTTCCACTTCCCCATGGACAATAGAAGAAATAAAAAGAACAAGAGCTATTTAGAAAAAGGAGAAAAACCTAGATGTATGTATATATATATATGCATGTGCGTGTCTGTGAAGTGTGACCAAAGTGTAAGTAGGAGTAGCAAGATATCCCTGTTATCTTAGCGTGTTTATGAGACAGAAAAAGAAACCAGCAATCCTACCATCATGCAAAACAGTTACAGGTTTTTGTTTCACAGTCATCTGGCAGGACGGTAGTACTTCCTGGGTGGTTGCTGTCTACCAACCTACTACCTATATATATATATATATATATATATATATATATATATATGTATGTATGTAGTAGGTTGGTAGACAGCAACCATCCAGGGAGGTACTACCGTCCTGCCAAGTGAGTGTAAAACGGAAGCCTGTAATTGTTTTACACGATGGTAGGATTGCTTGTGTCTTTTGTCTGTCTCATAAACATGCAAGGTTTCAGGTATGTCTTGCTACTTCTACTTACACTTAGGTCACACTACACATACATGTACAAGCATATATATACATACTCCTCTGGGTTTTCTTCTATTTTTTTCTAGTTCTTGTTCTTGTTTATTTCCTCTTATCTCCATGGGGAAGTGGAACAGAATTCTTCCTCCGTAAGCCATGCGTGTTGTAAGAGGCGACTAAAATGCCGGGAGCAAGGGGCTAGTAACCCCTTCTCCTGTATATATTACTAAATGTAAGAGGAGAAACTTTCGGTTTTCCTTTTGGGCCACCCTGCCTCGGTGGGATACTGCCGGTGTGTTGAAAGAAAGAAAGATACATTATATATATATATTATATATATATATATATATATATATATATATATATATATATATTATATATATATATAATATATATATATTATATATATATATATATATAATATATATAGCTCAGCTTCCTCGGATCAAAACGTTATTTTTGAGAAGTGTTATTGACTTGCAGAGCCGGCAGGACCGCCCAGGTTAGAGGGAGACCTGGGTGACAGCTACCTGGCGGGTACCACCCTCGACCTGGCTTGTTCCAGCGTAGGAGGTCACCCCCCACCCACCATCAGGTAGGTCACTCTTCCCCTTAAACCCCCTCCTCTCCTGCCAAAGGGTGATGGACTGGTTACATCGTCTTCACATCTCTACTCTTCCTACTACCTCTTCCGTCAGCGACTGAAGAAGTCTACTGTGTAGGCGAAACGTTTCGGAATAAAGATACCTAACTGTTGCACATGTGTCTTATCGCCCCCTTCGCCCTTAAACTCCCCCCTCTCTCTCTCCTCTCCTCTCTCCTCCCTTCTCCCCCTCCCCTTTTATACCCTCATCACGTTTAACAATGAATTTATTTTCCCCAGAAGACTAATTAATTTAAATTGCGCCGAACTTCTTTTGTTTTGTTGATTCTCTCCAGTATATGTTGGTCCATTATCTTTACAATACCTTCTGGCAGTCCTCCACATTCTCCAATTAAGATTTCTTAGATTCTCTTGTCATTTTCTGTAAGCGTTCCTTCCTCCTTCCCCAGCTTTATCACTTGTTTCTTCACACAGATGGTTAAAAGCTCCAGCTGCGGGTCATCACATGACTAAGACCCGCGTCAGGAAACACTTGTCCTGTTTCCTGACTAATCTGACCTTTCACACGCGACTTTTTTTTAAGAGGCTGTTTAATATTTCTGACCTTTTACGTTAAATAATTTCCACTGTTTTTTTTTAGAATAAAAAGGCACAATACCGTGATTGTAACAATACAATAACCTGCAGGTAGAAGAATGAAACTTAAAACAACGTTTCGGTGCGTCTTGGACCACTAACTTGGACCACTAACTTGGACCACTATCTTGGACGACTAACTTGATCCACTAACTTGGACAGCTAACTTGGACCACTAACTTGACCCACTAACTTGGACCACTAACTTGGACCACTAACTTGGACCACTAACTTGGACCACTAACTTGGACCACTAACTTGGACCACTAACTTGAACCACTAACTTGGACCACTAACTTGGACCACTAACTTGGACCACTAACTTGGACCACTAACTAATTATCCAAGTCGGACAAGAACGTCTCAATAAATATTGTCCAATGTGCGAGTTATTTGCTTATCCTACCTTCCTATTTTTGCATATTCGTTTCTAGCGCTTTTGTTTGCTTCTCGGTTTTTCTGCATTTTGATTTTCTCTATTTTTTCATTCTCTTTATATCCTCTCCCTTCATTCTCTGCCAATCCATTTGCTGTCTTTGTTTTCCCTGTTTCTCTTCTATATGCTTGATATGAATCTATCCTCTGGTACTATACCTGGAGGGGGTTTCGGGGGGTAAACTCCCCCGTGGCCCGGTCCGTGGCCAGGATTTGTGGTGGATAAGGGCCTGATCAACGAGGCTGTTACTGCTGACCGCACGTAAACCGACGTACGAACCACAGCCCTGTTGGTCAAGTACTGACTTAAGGTGCCTGTCCAATGCCTTCTTGAAGACAGAGGTTTATTGGTAATTTCCCTTATGTATGCTGGAAGGTAGTTGAACAGTCTTGGGCCCCTGACACTTACTGTGTTGTCATTCAGTGTACTAGTGGCGCCTCTGCTTTTCACTTGGGGGGGCGGGGTTGCATCTCCTGCCAAGTTCTTTGCTTTCGCAAGAAGTGATTTTCGTGTGTAAATTTGGTACTAATCCCTCTAGGATTTTCCAAGTGAATATTATCATGTATCTTTCTCGCCTGCGTTCCAGGGAGTACAAATCAAGGGACTTCAACCGTTCCCATTACTTGCTTATCTCCGTTATTCCTTCTGCACATCAGTTTTCCCTGTTTATTTTCCCATTCCATTTCTCTCAGAAAAATTCTCAGGCCATCTTCCGTAGTCTCATTTTCTGTTATTTGCTTCTTTCTTCCTCCCTTGCTTATTCCACCATATATTCAAAATCTTCGTACCACATGATCGCTGGTTCCTATTAGTTCCCGTCTTTAATTTCTGCTACAATATTCATTCTGTGTGAAGACCAGATCAAGTCTGTTAGGTAAAAGAATACATGTGCAACTAATGCGACATTTATTTCGGCAACGTTTCGTTCTCCAGAGCGAAACATATATGTGTCCGTTTACCTAACATTTTATCGGTACTTCTCCCAACGTTATTACAGAATTATTGAAATGGTATAAAATACCGACAAGTTGATGACTAAGACACATGTGCAACAGTTGGGTATCTTTATTGATGAAACGTTTCGCCCACAACAGTAGGCTTCTTCAGTCTGAAGAAGCCTACTGTGTAGGGGAAACATTTCATCAGTAAAGATACCCAGCTGTTGCACATGTGTCTTAATCTTCAACATTATCACAGATCAAGTCTCACTGGTTCATCTCGTCTTCACTCCTGTTGAAACCTTTCAAATGTTGACTCAAACTTCTTCATAACTGTGTCCAGAAATTTCGCTCTCCATGTTTCCTTCCTTTATTTCCTTGTGGTTGATGTCTCTTAAATATAGTGACGTCACATATCCCTGTCTAAGGCCTACTTTTACTGGAAAAAAATCTGCCCCCTTCCCCTCTTTTATATACCCTAACCAGTACTTCACTATGCACATAAAAGCTCTTTTCTGCAATACTTCGATTCACGTAGCTGTTCTAGTATACCTGGAGTATACCTGGAGAGAGTTTCAGGGGTCAACGCCCCCGAGGCCCGGTCTGTGACCAGGTCTCGTATTGGATCAAGGCAGTAATCTAAAACCAAGACAATATTTTGTTCCCAGAAATGCTAATAGAATTCCTAGCTTCATATCAGGCAGTATAAATAATAGGAGTCCACAGGTTATACTTGTAAGTTTATATATCCCTTATAAAGGCCACATTTAGATTATGCTGCTCACTTCTGGCCTTAATATTCAGAATAGACGTAAATGCATTAGATAATATACAGAGAATATTGAAGTTCATCCCACGTATCAGAAATCTTTCCTATGATGATAGGTTGACGGCAGTGAAATTGTCCTCTTTGGAAAGTCTTTGAATTAGTGAGGATATGATATTAGTGAGCAGTATGGCTGGTAAAACTTGAATACATGAAAGGGATATAACTGGAAAATGATATCGTGATACCGACAAGATGTGCCAAAAGACACTATGCAGTTCAGATTATTTATTACAGAAAGTGTTTCATTACAAGTGCCTTCTCCAGTTCTAGCTTCTTTAGAACTGAAGAAGCCAATCGTGGCGAAGCTTTTCCTTTAGTAAATGTCTTGAGCTGTACATTGCCTTTCTACAAAGGGATACACAAATAGCGTACTAAAGAAGGTAGGACTCGCAGCAATGAATTTAAGCTGGACAAATTTAGATTTAGAAAGGATATAGGAAAACAATGATTTGGCAATAGAGTTGTGGCTGTGTCGAACAAACTTCGGAGTAACGTCACTCGGATGATACATTTAGGTAGCTCTGAAAATAGGTCGGACAGGAACATAAGTGGGTGTGAGTTAGACCTGTCTAACATTCACCAGTAGGGCTTTGATAATGTTCCTCCTTTCCTGTGATCTAATTCTTGGATTCCTTTTCAGCTGAAGAGGATCCCAGAAGGGGGTCGAAATATACGAATCAATTAATCACCTGAGCGTGTCTCCATGCGGGTTATTATTGAGCATTATACATGACAGATTTCGGTTTAATTTCATACATTAATCGAATAATCTACGTATGTTACCATAAGACGTAACTCCGTAGTGGGAGTTATGTCAGAGAAAACACAGGACGGATGAGATATCGAAAATCAATATTGTATACTTAAGCTCAGACGTGACCGCCAGGAAAACCGAGGTCCGGACTAGGTAGAAAAAAAGGTGAAGGATGTGTTAGTCGTATCAAAAGGTGATGTGTATCGACAAGATAATTGTGATGTGCTTGTGAACACATCAGGACATTTGTAAGAAGCTTTTCTCGGCTCGAGTGGCATTTGTACTTTATTAAAAGGCCTTTAAAACGATATCATTAGGGTTGAAGAAAGCATTCGTGCTAGGTGAGGGTGCTTACACTGTAGAGGCTGTGCTAGGTGAGGGTGCTCACACTGTAGAGGCTGTGCTAGGTGAGGGTGCTCACACTGTAGAGGCTGTGCTAGGTGATAGTGCTTACACTGTAGAGGCTGTGCTAGGTGAGGGTGCTTACACTGTAGAGGCTGCGCTAGGTGATAGTGCTTACACTGTAGAGGCTGTGCTAGGTGAGGGTGCTTACACTGTAGAAGCTGTGCTGGGTGAGGGTGCTTACACTGTAGAAGCTGTGCTAGGTGAGGGTGCTTACACTCTAGAGGCTGTGCTAGGTGAGGGTGCTCACACAATAGAGGCTGTGCTAGGTGAGGGTGCTCACACTACAGAGGCTGTGCTAGGTGAGGGTGCTCCCACAATAGAGGCTGTGCTAGGTGAGGGTGCTCACACAATAGAGGCTGTGCTAGGTGAGGGTGCTCACACAATAGAGGTTGTGCTAGGTGAGGGTGCTCACACAATAGAGGCTGTGCTAGGTGAGGGTGCTCACACAATAGAGGCTGTGCTAGGTGACGGTGCCCACACAACAGAATCTGTGCTAGGTGAGGGTGCTCACACATTACTGTGCTAGGTGAGAATGCTCACACAATACTGTGCTAGGTGAGAGTGCTCACACAATGGAGGCTGTGCTAGATGAGGGTGCTCACACAATAGAGGCTGTGCTAGGTGACGGTGCCCACACAACAGAGTCTGTGCTAGGTGAGGGTGCTCACACAATACTGTGCTAGGTGACAGTGCTCACACAATGGAGGCTGTGCTAGGTGACGGTGCCCACACAATAGAGTCTGTGCTAGGTGAGGGTGCTCACACAATACTGTGCTAGGTGAGAGTGCTCACACAATAGAGGCTGTGCTAGGTGAGGGTGCTCACACAATAGAGGCTGTGCTAGGTGAGGGTGCTCACACAATACTGTGCTAGGTGAGAGTGCTCACACAATGGATGCTGTGCTAGGTGAGGGTGCTCACACAATACTGTGCTAGGTGAGAGTGCTCACACAATGGATGCTGTGCTAGGTGAGGGTGCTCACACAATAGAGGCTGTGCTAAGTGAGGGTGCTCACACTACAGAGGTTGTGCTAGGTGAGGGTGCTCACACAATAGAGGCTGTGCTAGGTGAGGGTGCTCACACAATAGAGGCTGTGCTAGGTGAGGGTGCTCACACTACAGAGGCTGTGCTAGGTGAGGGTGCTCACACTGGATAAGAGTTTTGCTCCATATTATGAAGCACAACTCTTCTCCAGGCTGAGGGACTGACCCCCTGCATACTACGTCTTCATGGGTGATGGACTGACTGCATCTTCTTGATATCTATGCTGCTTCTGCTGACTCCTTTTTATTCGAAGAAGTACAGAGGAGGCAGCAGCAGCAGCAGCAGCAGCAGCAGCAGCAGCAGCAGCAGCAGCAGCAGCAGCAGCAGCAGCAGCAGCAGCAGCGGCAGCGGCAGCGGCAGAAGCCTACTGTGTAAGCGAGGCTTTTCGGAATAAAGATACCTAAATGATGCACATGTGTCTTGCTTATTAACTAGTCGGTATTGTATTCCATTATTGTATTTATATTAGTAGCGACTCGGGATTCTACAACACCTTCAGACCTTCTTTAGCTCTTCGAGTAATCCTCTGACGGAAAAAAATTACTGAATATAAAATGACGGTTTTAAAATTTAAGGCAACAGTGATGCCCAGAATGCCTTTATAATCTCAAAACAATGCAGTGTTCTCTACCAACAAAAAAATTAAAGCTGGCTCAGCTTTTTAAAGCTTAGAGTAGAGTGGTAGCAACTTTCTCGTCTTACTGTATATTGTAATGCGAAGCTCTTCGAGGAAATAAGACTTGTGCTTACGTAGTGGTACAAGCAAAACCACTCATTGGATGTGTTTACATTCAGCTGTTTGGAGCCTCTTACAACCAAGACACAAAGAGTCTTAGAGAGCTGGGTTGTCTCAGTGTTACTGGTTATGTGGGAGCTAGAAATCATTGGATCTTGCATCGTCTTGGCTTACCCGATCAGTGGAGTGAAGTTGCAGAGGAGTTCTGTTGGCATTTCGATGTGGTTAATTCCGTCTTTCTCATACCACAGCGATATATTGGTTTAAATGGTATAAACCTTGGTAATTAATACCGAAACATTGGTTTAAAAGACATCTGAGTAAACATTACGATATTTTTAATAGAAAACGTTTCGGTTCTGGGACCTTGATTACTTTTAACACAGTTTTAACATGACTGTAAACATAGGCGGAGAGTTGATTGTGACATGTAGTGACCTGTTAAATGCAAGAATAACTTAATTGAGATGAAGTCACGTTTTCTAACAAATTTACCCTAGTGTTTGATCACGTGTCTTCCTGACCACCGATTTAAATCCTGAATGAATGATCGTGACAAGGCTGGTTTATATGGTTTAAAGCCTACCAAGTACAATTGGGTCATTAAGGCTGCATATTACTCGTTCTTTACCAGTCGAGAGAACTTTAATCTTTAGAATAGGCAATAGAGTAAACTGTCAGCATATATACACTGAGAGACATACACATCACAATGCACATACACTGTGTGCAGCAAGAATGTTGAGCGTGCAGCTCAAAGCCGAGAGATTGCGGCTTAGTGTCACATATGCAACCAACAATAATGAACAGTTTAATCCATATAATTGGGATTAAATTCTCAGTCGTGAAAGCCATACGCCTCACGGCGTATGTTTCCTGTATGTGACAATGAAGATTATCTTTGTAACTTTGCTTTAGGTGTAAATATCTACCAACCCCCAACCTTTCATGTATAACAATATAAATGAATCGTTTACAATCCACATCTAATGCGGGAACAGGTGGGGTTAGAACCCTTGACAAGTGAATCCCCAAGTGATTCCAGTGCGTTAACCACTGGGTCAGCTGGCTCTAATAAGATTCATCCAACTAGGTATACTTCTATCTCAGAGCCAGATGGCCGAGTGGTTAACGCACTGACCTGTCAGTTTTACAACTCACACGCCATGAGTTCTAACCTCACCCGTTCCCTGATTTGTTTACAATCACGTTAATACGATTTCGTGAGTCCATCCACACCTTACATACACTTATGCATAATGGAATTAATGTTAAAAAATAAGATTCTTAACATATTAAATAATTTTAAGAGGCGTTTAATAACAAGGAATTATTAGTGGAGAATTTATTTTAATATAGCATAACTGAATATTTCCAGCAGATAACATAAAAGTGTGAATCCATGGTGAGCTGTAGAAAGGAATTTATTTTAAACACGTAACTTCAGAATTTTGTATTTTATTGTATATTCCGCCTATGAGGGAATTAACATTTCAGAATATATTTGTATACATTTATGTTTTCTGTTATATATTAGATGTTTTTTTAAAGATATGTTATATTTTAACTTGACAGGATATACAAGGAGGAAGAGGAGGTGGCGACGGAGGTGGTACGGGAGATGAACGTCACCCGGGGGAGGGCCAAGCTGCGCCTCACTCCGGCTGACAACGGTGCCAAGGTCACATGTGAGGTCACCACGCTGGGCAGCACCAGTCCGCCTCTCACAGCCTCAGCCAGGCTCTCCGTCCACTGTGAGTCAGTGTACACATGTACACACAGGAAGCAGGACCCATATATAGCTTTAAGAAGAGTTATGATAAAGCTCCTGGAGCAGAGAGAGAGAGTAGACCAAGTAGTGACTAGGAGAAAGGTTGGGCCAGGAGCTAAGATTCGATCCGTGCATCCTCAAATAGGTGAGCACACACACAAAACCATAATAAGGTGAGTATACACACACACAACACAGCAACAAAGGGACACAGTTGGAAGTTGAAGACTCGGATGAATCACAGGGATGTTAGGAAGTATTTCTTCAGTCACAGAGTTGTCAGGAAGTGTAATAGTCTGGGAAGTGATGTAGTGGAGGCAGGATCCATACATAGCTTTAAGCAGAGGTATGATAAAACTCATAGTACAGGGAGAGTGACCCAGTAGCGGCCAGTGAAGAAGCGGCGCCAGGAGCTATGAATCAACCCCTGCAACCACAACTAGGTAAGTACAACTAGGTGAGTACACAAACAACAAGGCGTCACAACTGAAAGTTAAAGACTCAAATGAGCCACAGGGATGTTAGAAAGTAGTTCTTCTGTCATAGAATTGTCAGGAAGTGAAACAATCTGAATAGTGATATAGTGAAGGCAGGAACCATAAATAGTTTTAAGAAGAAATAAAATAAATATGTTGGAGCAGGGGGAGAGTGGACCTAATAGCGACCAGCACAGAGGTGGCGAGTACACCCAGGGTTAAAACTTTTTTGACTTTTTTTCCAAATTAAACATCTCCTGTACCATAAATCGATGAACTTTTGTTTAAAAACAATGAAAAAGTCCCCGATTCCTCTCAGTTTTTTAAACAAAATCACCACTAAATAAAAACTATGAATCACCATATATCTGCGTTACTACTCTTATGCAGCAACTCAGGAAAATAATAATTAACAACTCAGATTAATGAAAAATATTAATCACCAAATATTTACGTTACTAATCATAAGTAGCTGTATAGTCCTTGTGGCTTAGCGCTTCTTTTTGATTATAATAATAATAATACTAATCATAAGTAGCAACTCAGAAAATTACTAATTGGCAACTCTATATACTAGCGTCTACTATCATCATTCTCATTATATTTCACAGAGTGTATCAGTCAGTACTGCTTGTCTGACAATACATTTACAGGTACAACCTAACGGTAACACAGGGAAAAAGAGTGGAGCTGTTGTTAAACTGCAACATATGTTCTCAGAGAAGGGGATTAGCTAAACCACAATTGATCAGTTGTCAGCATCACGTTCTGGACAGGATTCTCCGTTTGGTAATGGATGAAAATCTTGGTGCTAAAACCAGTTCTCCAAACATCGAGTATCCATTTGTATCCCAACTGGTGAAGAATTATGAGGAACTAAAGGCACAGTTTGTTAATGGAACAGAAGAGATCCTCCATAAATCAGGATGGAGAGATATGAAGTTTTTGAGACATTTAAATGAGTGTTTAGATTCTTTAAAGAAAAGGGCACTTGCCTTTGATTAGCTTTCAGAAAATTCCAAACATCAGCAATGCGAGGTGGAATTCAAGGACCATTTCTAGCTATTCTTGTATTCATTCTTATACCTATAAGATGGAAGACTTTGGAAAGGATATACAGATTCATTTCATACACCTGCACAGATTATTGGTTTACTGATCAGATGTACGATGAAAATGACTTCAAGAATTTGTCAGGAATATTGAAATCTTACAAAAAGTCACTGAACTCATTGAAAAATCACTGGAAGCAGGAGCCGTCCGCACTCAATATACCAAGAAATAATCAGTGTGATGAACGTGCAGTCAAAGTTATGCAGGAACTGTATGCTGTCTGCAGAAACAAAAATTGCAACTTCGGTTTATTCTAACCAATAAGTAGTAATATATGTACAAACATGATAATAACGCTGTAACCTGATTTATTTGTTATTAATATTACATGTAATATGCATTCACGTTACTTGTTTTCGTTACTCTTTTTTTTTTTATTTAGGGGCGACATTTTCTAAAAAGCTATTGAAATGAAAGATTATTTCTTTGCTTTTAGGCAAAAGTTAATCTGATTAAGGTACAGGAATATTACCGTTGTAAAAAAATTATAAACTATTGCAACACACACACACCACCCCACCCCACACACACCCCACACACACACACAACACACACACGCACGCACGAAAGAATCAAGGAGACATCCCCAGACATAATAGCACTCACAGAAAAAAAAACTCACCAGAATAATAACAGATGCAATCTTTCCATCCGGATATCAAATCCTCAGGAAAGACAGAGGGAGGAGAGGGGGAGGTGGAGTTGCACGGCTCATTAAAAACCAGTGGGGGTTTTTAGAAAAAAGGAAGGAATGGATGGCACGGGCGAAAGGGACTACTTTTGTAGCAACAAACCAGTCTGAGGGACATAAGGTGATAATTGCAGTAATGTACAACCCACCACAGAACTGCAGGAGGCCAAGAGAAGAATACGATGAGAGCAACAGAGCAATGGTCGACACACTAGCCGAGGTGGCCAGAAGAGCACACATGGGGGGAGCAAAGTTACTAGTTATGGGTGATTTCAGTCACAAGGAGATTGACTGGGAAAACCTGGAGCCCCATGGGGTCCCGAAACATGAAGAGCCAAGATGATGGATGTGGTACTGGAAAACCTCATGCATCAACATGTTAGAGACACTACCAGAGAGAGAGGTGAGGATGATCCAGCAAGACTGGACCTTGTATTCACCTTGAGTAGTTCGGACATCGAGGATATCATGTATGAAAGGCCCCTAGGAGTTAGTGATCATGTGGTTCTGTACTCTGACTGTATAGTTGAGCTTCAAGTGGAGAGTAGCAGCAGGAATAGGATGGGAAAACCAAACTACAAAAGGGGGAACTACTCAGGCATGAGGAACTTCCTGCAAGACATTCAGTGGGAGAGGGAACTGACAGGAAAACCAGTACAAGAAATGATGGACTATGTGGCAACAAAATGCAAGGAGGCAGAGGAGAGGTTTGTTCCCAAGGGAAACAGAAATAATTGGAAGAACAGAACGAGTCCTTGGTTCACCCAAAGATGTAGGGAGGCAAAAACCAGGTGTACTAGAGAATGGAAAAGGTACAGAAGACAGAGAACTCAGGAAAATAAAGAGGTTAGCCGAAGAGCCAGAAACGAATATGCACAGATAAGAAGGGAGGCTCAGCGACAATATGAAAATGACTTAGCATCGAAAGTCAAGTCTGACCCGAAGCTGTTGTATAGCCCCATCAGGAGGAAAACAACAGTCAAGGACCAGGTAATCAGACTGAGAAAGGGTGATGGGGAGTTCACAAGAAACGACCGAGAGGTATGTGAGGAGCTCAACACGAGATTTAAAGAAGTATTTACAGTGGAAACCAGTAGGACTCCAGGAAATCAGAACACGGGGGTACACCAGCAAGTGCTGGATGAGGTACTCATAACCAAGGAGGAGGTGAAGAAGCTGCTATGTGAACTTGACATCTAAAAGGCGGTGGAACCAGACATCTCTCCGTGGGTTCTTAGAAAGTGAGCAGAGATTCTGTGTGTGCCATTAACAAAGACCTTCAACACATCCATTGAAACTGGGCAACTCCCTGAGGTATGGAAGATGGCAAATGTAGTCCCAATTTTTAAAAAGGGAGACAGACATGAGGCACTAAACTACAGACCTGTATCAGTAACGTGTATAGTATGCAAAGTCATGGAGAAGATCATCAGGAGGAGAGTGGTGGAGCACCTGGAAAGTAACAAGTGTATAATTCACAGCCAGCACGGTTTCAGGGAAGGAAAATCCTGTCACAAACTTATTGGAGTTTTATGACAAGGTGGCAGAAGTAAGACAAGAGAGAGAGGGGTGGATCGACTGCATTTTTTTGGACTGCAAGAAGGCCTTCGACACAGTTCCTCACAAGAGGTTACTGCAAAAGCTAGAGGATCAGGCACACATAACATGAAAGGCACTGCAATGGATCAGAGAATACCTGACAGGGAGGCAACAGCGAGTCATGGTACGTGACGAGGTGTCAGAGTGGGCGCCTGTGACAAGCGGGGTTCCACAGGGGTCAGTCCTAGGACCTGTGCTGTTTTTGGCATATGTGAATGACATAACGGAAGGGATAGACTCAGAAGTGTCCTTGCTTGCAGATGATGTGAAGTTAATGAGAAGAATCAAATTGGATGAGGATCAGGCAGGACTACAAAGAGCCCTGGACAGGCCACAAGCCTGGTCCAGCAACTGGCTCCTTGAGTTTAACCCTGCCAAATGCAAAGCCATGAAGATTGGGGAAGGGCAAAGAAGACCGCAGACACAATATAGTCTAGATGGCTAAAGACTGCAAACCTCACTCAAGGAAAAAGATCTGGGGGTGAGTATAACACCGAGCATATCTCCTGTGGCGCACATCAGTCAGATAACTGCTGCAGCATACGGGCGTCTGGCAAACCTACGGATAGCGTTCCGATACCTCAGTAAGGAATGGTTTAAGAGTCTGTATACCATTTACGTCAGGCCCATACTGGAGTATGCAGCATCAGTTTGGAATCCACACCTGGTCAAGCACGTCAAGAAATTAGAGAAAGTGCAAAGGTTTGCAACAAGACTAGTCCCAGAGCTAAGGGGATTGTCCTACGAAGAAAGGTTGAGGGAAATCGGCCTGACGACACTGGAGGACAGGAGGGTCAGGGGAGACATGATAACGACATATAAAATACTGAGCGGAATAGACAAGGTGGACAAAGACGGGATGTTCCAGAGAAGGGACACAGACACAAGAGGTCACAATTGGAAGTTGAAGACTCAGATGAATCAAAGGGATGTTAGGAAGTATTTCTTCAGTCATAGAGTAGTCAAGCCATGGAATAGCCTAGAAAGTGATGTAGTGGAGGCAGGAACCATACATAGTTTTAAGGCGAGGTATGATAAAGCTCATGGAGCAGGGAGAGAGAAGACCTAGTAGCAATCAGTGAAGAGGTGGGGCCAGGAGCTATGAATCGACCCTGCAACCACAAATAGGTGAGTACACCCTACCCACATCTAACAGTGCTCTATCGGTCTCACAACACAGCAAGAGCCCCAAAATAGAGGCAGTGCATGCTAGACTTGCTTCATCATTCAGACAGTGATGATATAAGAGGTGTGCAGCGACCTTAACCAAGCATTAACGTCAAGGCCATCAACACTGACCACCTTTGTGCTGCTCTCCCTCTCACTACCCTCCATCTAGCTGGATTTTCACACGCCGTCCCTTGATATATTCTTTGACTATCCTCCCACTAGTTGCATATTCCTACAATCCCTTCCATTTTCACTAGTACTTCCACACTCTCTTCCACTGCCACTACTGATAAGTTCCACCAGAAGTAATGAATTACGAGTCTTAAACAGCGCCTCAGACTTTTATTATTGTATTTTTTATTAATACATTGGCTGTCTCCCACCAAGGCAGGGTGGCCCGAAAAAGAAAAACTTTCATCATTCACTCCATCACTGTCTCGCCAGAGGCGCACTTACACTACAGTTATAAAACTGCAACATTAACACCCCTTCTTCAGAGTGCAGACACTGTACTTCCCATCTCCAGGACTCAAGTCCAGCCTGCCAGTGTCCCTGAATCCCTTCATAAATGTTACCTTGCTCACATTCCAACAGCGTGTCAAGTCCTAACACGCTCCTATCTAACACGCTCACGCATGTTTGCAGAAGTCCAAGCCCCTCGCACGGAAAACCTCCTTTATTCCCTCACTCCAAGCTTTCCTGGGCCGACCCCTACCCTGCCTTCCCTCCACTACAGATTTATACACTCTCGAAGTCATTCTATTTTACTCCTCCCTTTCTACATGTCCGAACCACCTCAACAACCCCTCCTCAGCTCTCTGGATAATACTTTCGGTAATCCTGCACCTCTTCCCAATTTCCAGACTAAGAATTCTCTGCATTATATTCACACCACACATTGCCCTCAGACATGACATCTCCACTGCCTCCAGCCTTCTCCTCGCTGCAACATTCATCACCCATGCTTCACACCCATGTAAGAGTGTTGGTAAAACTATACTCTCATACAGTCCCTTCTTTGCTTCCATGGACAAAGCTGTTTGTATCCACAGGGCTATTTTTGTGATGGGTCGTACAGTGTATCAGGTTTGATCCAAGGAAGGTTGAGGCAACTCTAATTCCTTGGATCAAGAGCCCAATAGAAGGACTGATAAGCATAGGCTGGATGGTTTGTCTATAAAATTTAACTGTAGCCTTAATGATTAGGGTCATTAAGGCTGAACATTGCCTATACACTGCTAATCAACAATACTTTAAGCTCTACTCAAGATAGGAATTACTTTTAGAGTTTCTTTCATCCCTAAAATAAAGAGCTCACTCACTGTAAATTCTAGAAATTTCAAGTATTTATACTAAAACCAAATTTCTAATATTTGCACTAAAACTTTCTATTGTTTAACTAAATATTTCTAGAATTTACACTAAAACTTTGTAGTATTTACATAAAAACTTTCTAGTATTTACACAAAAACTTTCTAGTATTTACACTAAAACTTTCTTGCATTTACACTAAAACTTTCTAGTATTTACACTAAAACTTTCTAGTATTTACACAAAAACTTTCTAGTTTACTATAAACTTTCTAGTATTTTAATAAAAACTTTCATAGTATTTACATATAAAACTTTTGTATTTACTATAAACTTTCTAGTATTTACATATAATTTCTAGTATTTACTAAAAACTTTCTAGTATTTACATATAAACTTTCTAGTATTTACACTAAAACTTTCTAGTATTTACATATAAACTTTCTAGTATTTACATATAAACTTTCTAGTATTTACATATAAACTTTCTAGTATTTACATAAAACTTTCTAGTATTTACATATAAACTTTCTAGTATTTACATATAAACTTTCTAGTATTTACATATAAACTTTCTAGTATTTACATAAAAACTTTTAGTATTTACATATAATTTGTATTTACATATAAACTTTCTAGTATTTACATATAAACTTTCTAGTATTTACATATAAACTTTCTAGTATTTACATATAAACTTTCTAGTATTTACATATAAACTTTCTAGTATTTACATAAAAAATTTCTAGTATTTACATTAAAACTTTCTGGTATTTATCCAGAAACTTTCTAGTATTTACATAAAAACTTTCTAGTATTTACATAAAAACTTTCTGGTATTTACATAAAAACTTTCTAGTATTTACATAAAAACTTTCTGGTATTTACATAAAAACTTTCTAGTATTTACATAAAACTTTCTAGTATTTACATATAAACTTTCTAGTATTTACATATAAACTTTCTGGTATTTATCCAGAAACTTTCTAGTATTTACATAAAAACTTTCTAGTATTTACATTAAAACTTTCTGGTATTTACACAAAAACTTTCTAGTATTTAGACAAAAACTTTCTAGTATTTACACAAGACTTTGATCAGATATTTCACTATTAGCAACTCACCACAACCCTATTATGGGGCATCGTTACGTTAGGTTTTGTAAGGTAAGGTAAGGTAAAGTAAGGTAAGGTAAGGTAAGGTAAGGTAAAGTAAGGTAAGGTAAGGTAAGTAAGGTAAGGTAAGGTAAGTAGTAAGGGTAAAGTAAGGTAAGGTAAGGTAAAGTAAGGTAAGGTAAGGTAAAGTAAGGTAAGGTAAGGTAAAGTAAGGTAAGGTAAGGTAAAGTAAAGTAAGGTAAGGTAAAGTAAGGTAAGATTCGTCAGGAAACAGGACAAGTATGCCCTGACGAGGGTCTTACTCATATGATGACCAAAGCTGGAGCTTTCGATCATCTGACCGAGACCTTCCACTGGCTTACCCCTCCACCTCTTTAAAAATTATGGTTATGATTAAAACCATCTTTTAAATAAAGGCATCACTGACATTTTTCACCAGATCAACCAGCTTGACAGCAGCTTGAGGGGAAAATGCTGTATTATGCTCGACCAAAGCTTAACTGTTAACGGGTTGTGTTTCTAACGGGTCATAGAAACCATGACAACACAAACAGCTAAAACATTTACCAGTTATGTGGCCAGTTGAAGTCTGCTTGACCGACTTATAGTAAGTGAAGCCTCTGGTTACCGTGTGGAAGGAAGGAAAAGGGGAAGCCTCTCCAAATGAGGGAGAAAACTGAAGTATACCTGGAGAGGGTTTCAGGGGTCAACGACCCCCTCGGCCGGTCTGAGACCAGGCTTCGTGTAGGGAAGAGTTCTCTGAAAGAGATCTGGTTACTTTTCATTTCCTAGGTTTAACTTACTATTTTGTGATACTGTCTTCTACTCAGTAATGCCTGTCCAGTCGTTGCACCGAGGGGAGACAATCGTAATTCATGTAAAATCTAACATAGGAACGTTATAACGACGTTTCGGTCCGTTCACAACTGGGGCGAGAAAAACAGGGTCCGAAACGTTGTCATAAGGTTTCCTTCTTAAGTGGATGGTTCTTAGTGAATTGTTACAGCACGGAATTGTAACATTATGTTCTCCAAGTTACAGTCAACATAAGAATATAAGAAAGAAGGAACACTGCAGCAGGGCTACTGGCCCATGCGAGGAAGGTCCAATGCTCTTACCGGCGTAAGCCAATGCCTTGACCTAGTCAGGTCAGGTCACATTCACTTAAGGCAGGAGCATAGCATCTGACCTAGTAGCACAAGCTAATCAGGTCCAACTAAAGGAATACCTCAGTAAAGACTCCATTGTTGTTCATCTTCTCCACTTCACGAGAGAAAAAATCTCCGGAGAAGTGTACTCACGTAACAAAAGCACGAATGCCATTTAATTCCATTTTTTAACGTAAATACATTGGGATCAGAACGTCACTGTATTCATCATTCTCAGGTGAATATTTGAAAACTGGAACACAAGTTATAGCTGTGAAACCATACCACGGGCGGGATTGAACCCGCAGTTAGTCCCGCCGTGGTATGGTTTGTTTGCAATCGTGTCATTACGATTTCGTGAGTCATATAGATGTGAGAGTTTTAATAATATAGGAAATTACAATTTTCATTAATCCACATACTCAGACAGACAGTACACACACACACTGACCTGGTGTCTACTCTCCTACAGTTGCACCGTGGGAAGTGACAGGCTTGGTACTGCCAGCCACAGTGGAGGAGGGAGCAATAGTGACGCTCTCGTGTGAGTCTTCCACCAGCATCCCAGCCTCCAACATCACCTGGACCTCTGACGGCATCACCATAGATAGTGCCACCATCACTACCACTAAAGCTGCCTTTGGTGGCACTACCACCAGGTGATTATTATTAGTAGTAGTAGTAGTAATACTAGTAGTAATAATAATGGCAGTAGCAGTATTAGTATTAATGGTAATGGTAGTAGTAGTAGTACCATTACTGTCATTATTATTATTATTATTATCCTTATTATTATTATTACTAGTAGTAGTAGTGATATTGTTAATATTATTATTATTATTATTTACTGGGAAGTACTAAATTTGTAAGGGCTATACGGAAACTGGAGAAAACAAGGTTTGATCCAAGGAAGTGAAGGATGAGGTGGCCAGTGTGTTGTGCCTCAGATATTATGGGAGGTAAACATAAGATGTGAATTTATTTTTAACACGTTGCTTAGTTTATATTTTCTACCCTACCTTAGTTACACTGTCACCCACTTGGATGTCACCCACATGGATGTCACCAACATGGATGTCACCCACATGGATGTCACCCACATGGATGTCACCAACACGGATGTCACCCACACGGGTGCTACCCACATGGATGTTACCCACACGGATGCCACCCACATGGATGTCACCCATATGGATGTCACCCACATGGATGTCACCCACATGGATGTCACCCACATGGATGTCACCCACATGGATGTCACCCACATGGATGTCACCCACATGGATGTCACCCACATGGATGTCACCCACATGGATGTCACCCACACGGATGTCACCCACATGGATGTCACCCACATGGATGTCACCCACATGGATGTCACCCACACGGATGCCACTCACATGGATGCCCCCACATGGATGCCACCCACATGGATGTCACCCATACGGATGTCACCCACATGGATGCCCCCACATGGATGTCACCCATATGGATGCCACCTACATGGATGCCATCCACATGGATGCCATCCACATGGATGCCATCCACATGGATGCCATCCACATGGATGACACCCACGTGGATGCCACCCTCAAGAATGCCACCCACAAGAATGCCACCCACAAGGATGACACCCACAAGGATATCACCCACATGGATGCCACTCACAACAGTCAGCAACTACCGGTGGATCAGGGCGTGATCAGTCAGGTTGTCACTGCTGGCTGCAAATAAACCGATGTAGGAACCACAACCCGGCTGGTCAGACACTGACTTTAGGTGCCTGTCCAGTGCCTTCGAGAAGACAGCCAGGAGTCTATTGGTAATTTTCCTTATGTGTACTGGGTTGCAGATGAACAGTCTTGGGCCCCTGAGACTTACTGTGTTGTCTTTTAGTGTACTCGTGGCGCCTGCCGAATCTTTTGCTTTCGTAGGGAGTTATTACCGTGTGCAGTTTTATCCAGACGGGTATGTTGAAATAGGATCAGCGTCTCCAACCGACCCGGGATCGAATCTAAGGTATGTCGGTTGTCTACTGATGGCAAGGTCTCCTCTGTACTTTTCCCATGTTTTCTTTTCTCTGTCTTTTGCTTACGTCTTCATGATTGATGATCAATATGTTTATCACTGTGATGCTCGTTCATGTAATTCATTATTTTTTGTGGGTGGATCCATCTAGCCCTTCTTGTCATTGTGACTGATTTTAGAACCTAAGCAAATGGGTGGGGTTTGAACCCATGGCAAGTTAGTCTTAAAATACACAGGCCAGTGCCAAGTGGTTAGCGCACAGGCCAGTGCCAAGTTATCAGCACATTGGCCTGGGTTCAAATCCCATCCGTTCCTTGATTTGTTTGCAATTGTGTTATGATTTTGTGAGTTACAATTTGAACATTCTGTTATTCTCGCTCTTTCTATATGATGATTTCCTGGTCCTTCCTTTTTCCTCTACTCTAACTTCTACTAACCTGCTGAGGGTGGTCGAGTTTCGACTCCTGTCCTTACTTCTTATCTGACAGTGATCGCTTCACTCCCTCCTACGATCCTGCTTCCTGTTATATCACTTCTTCTTAAAACTAATTTTGGAATCTGCTTTCAGCATATCTTCAAGATTATTACACTTCCTGTCCACTTTGTACTTGAAGAAATATTTTCTGATATCTTGTAGCTCATTTATATCTCTAATTTTCAACTCTTGTACCCGTTTGCTAACTTTTAGACAGCCTTTCTTTTCCTGTCCATCCTGTCAAATTCTTTTAGTATAATTACTCATTTCTTCTTTCGTGTTCTGTCCTCTACTGTAATCAGGTTCAACTCAGTCTTTTCTTTCGTGGCTCTTTGCTCTCAGTTTCAAGAACTTTTTTCGTTACGAATCTTTGCACTTTCTCTAGTTTATTGACATGCTTTACCAAGTGAGGGTTCTAGTCTGGTATTGCAGATTTTAGTTAATGCCTGACACTGTACACAGAGCTATGAATAATACATGAGATTCCTGGAAGCTTATATTCCATTCACGAAACGCGCATTTCCTGCTAAGGTTATCCTGTTGATGTGTGTTTCTAGTGGTAGCTTGGGTACTGTCCATGTTTACCTAACAGTAAATAGGTACCTGGGTATTAGTGAACTGTTAGTGAAATATACTGATGTAGGATAACACTTTTTTTTTATATGGATAAATTTTCAAGGTTCATAGATGTTATCCTACCTCAGCTCATTTTAACACTAGTCATTTCTACACTAGTCACCTAACACCCAGGTACCTACTTACAGAGGCAGCAGATGTAAAGAAACATGCTCAGCGTTTACACCCATGCCGTGGATCGAACCACGGATACTCACTATGTGAGCCACGAGACACGGAACACAATTAAGCGATGTAAGAATAATGTCACATGTGTAAGAGAAGATCTTAAATATACATCGTATACAAGAGAATTCCCTAACAACCGCTCAGAGGAGCGACAACTAAAGTCTCTCCTTGTAAGTATCTTGGAAAGACTTAACACAAAAACTTTTCCCTGAAAACATAGACTAGATTTAAACAAGAGGGCAATGTCGACTTTTTTTTTTTTTACCCTCTGAAGAAATGAGAAAATTCGTGTTTTTCTCCTTTGAGCGACGGAAAAAATAATTGTGGGTTGAGATTTTTCTTTGAGTGCCGTTGAACTTTGATGATTAAGACACATGTGCAGCAGTTGGGTATTTTTATTGTTGAAACGTTTCGCCTACACAGTAGGCTTCTTCAGTCAATACAGAGGCAGCAGTAGTATTGAAATGAAGATGGTGTAATCAGTTCATCAGTATCTGAAGTGGTCAGTCCCTCAGCCTGGAGAAGAGTTCAGCTTCACGGTATGAACATTCAACGTCCTGAAGATTTTGCAATGCAGCAGGCCTTCTGGCCCATGCTGGGCAGGTTTTTCTCAAACCCAAACCCACTAACATAAAATATTTCATTAATCCGTTTTCAATGCTATCCAAAGAATAAGCTTTGATAAGCCTGTTAACTTGAGTGTAAGTCCCACTCAAATCCAACCTCTCCCACTCATATATTTATATAATTTAAAGTTACCCAATGATCCTATTAGGCCTAACCCATTTCCAGTGCCACCCAAGGAATACTCATTTACCACACTGTGGTACAACTTTGCTTTCCAACTTTTCTCCACTGTGTGGAACATTATTGAACAGAGATGACAAGTTTTGAATTTTTAAGGTCTTCTCAAACTTTTCCAATGATAGTTGTGCCAGAGGGCTTGTAGCTTCGTAGTGAGTTTAATTTTCCGTTGAACACTAGCTGTGGTGACTCTGTTGGGTATAATTCCAGCGGTGCATGTGTACATGTTGCCTAGGAGTGCCGTGTCTAATGATCTGCCTTGAAGGAAAGTGTCTTAGGTTGTCTTCTTAAGGTCATCTGGACACACTTCAAGTTAGACTCATGCTCTTGTGGAGAATGGATGTCTAAGGATGGCAACTGGAGGTGACGTGAATCTTGGTAAAAGCATTTCTTGGAAAGTCACGTAAAAAGTTGTGTCTATTTCTGACCGAGAAGATCCAGGTGTTCTCTGTGTGAAGGATCCATTTCTAATGCGGTGTCCGATTTAATGGAAAAAGAAATACGAATGCAATGTAACGTAATCCTTTATTGCAACGTTTGGAAACGTTGTTAATAAAGGATCGCAGTCTACTGCATTCGTGTCCATTTTTCCACTAGTACGTGAGCTAGAAACCTCGAAGGTAATAGTCCCAGATAATATCTCTCTGCGGGACGTGAGAGAGGGAGGGGAAAGCACTATGTGAACCACTAGCCCAGTGCCTAACGCGTCGGTCTGGAGTTTCATGACTCTCTGATCGTGGTTCTAACCCCACCTGTAGTATGGTTTGTTTGCAATCGTGTCATTACGATTTCGTGAGTCACTAGCCAAGTCAGTCGACGCTGGGCAAGTACCAGAGTGGGTTCACAAACGACAACCAGCATGGCTTTAGGGATGGTAAATATATTCTTGAAAACCTACTGGAGTTCTATGACAAGGAAACTGAAGTGAGGCGGAAAGAGAGAGAGAGAGAGAGAGAGAGAGAGAGAGAGAGAGAGAGAGAGGGGGAGAACTGAATGTTTCTAAACTGTAATAAAGACTTTGGACGTCGTACCGCCCTAGAGACTAGGACCGAGGCTGCAACAATGAGGAAGGCACTGCAATGATTCAAGCAATGTTTAACATGAAGTAAACAATATGTGATTGCCTGGTAAGTGGTGTTAGAATGGGCACATGTGACGAGTGGGGTTCCACAAGAATCCGTACTAGGACCAGCAATATTTTTTGCATACGCGAACGACGTGACGGAAGGGATAGAGGAGCATCCTTCTTCACAGATATCAAACTAATAAGGAGAATACAAACAAACAGGGACCAAGAAAGATTTTACATAGACTTGTATAAGCGAAAGTCTGTAACAAACCACGAAACAGGTGGAGTTTGAACTCATGGCGAATGGAGTTTTACGACTCATTCGCCATGAGTTTAAACCCAATCCGTTCCGTGTTTTTTTTAGAGCATCTAGAATTGACCATAGGTAAAACGAGACTTGAAAAAACGTTTCAATTTGCCCAGAACTGAAACAAGGGCTTGGTTGTGAGACCAGTGTTATACCACTGTTATACCAATGTTATGTTACCAGTGTTATACCACTGGTCTGCATCTACCAGATAAAAATTCTTCTCTTGTTCAGGTGGTACAACATACAACATTTTGTTCCAGTACTATATCAATAGGTTGGACTTTTAAATTATTAATTATTGTTATTATTACTGTTATTATTATAATATTATTACTGCTATTATTATTATTATTATTATTATTATTATTATTATTATTATTATTATTAATATAAATCCGTGTGGGTCATTCAACACAAAAATCAGTGAAGTCTTGCAGTTTGTATATATTTTGATGAGTATATCTCTCTTAACGTGTGTATACTGAGAACAAAACAGTGTATGTACACTTGGGTGGGTGTTTGTCATGGTATAAACAAACACTTTAAGAGTTTAATTCTAATTGGCCCATTTTCTGGATAAATGTGTTCCGGATTAGTGGGAACGGATGACGGATGGACTAATTCACCAACTATGCTTCTTTCTCAGCTCAAGGACTGACGAAAACCGCTTTCCTTGGCAGGTCGGAGGTGCAGCTGAGAGCAACGGCGGGGGACAACGGTAAGAAGTTCCTGTGTGAGGCTGACAACGGTCTGGCTCCTCCTGTTCATACCTCACTTACTCTCCATGTGCTGCGTGAGTACCTGTTGTGTTACCTGTTGTTATCTGTTGTTTTGTATGTTGTGTTTCTTGTTGTCTTATCTGCTGTGTTACTTCTTGTGTTACCCGCTGTCTTGTCTGTTCATTATTTGGGTTATCCTCTGTGCAACACAACCTGTGTGTTGTGTTACATGCTGTGCAACACAACATGTGTGTTGTGTTACCTGCTGCGTTACATGCTGTGTAACACAACCCACGTGTTGTGTTACATGCGGTGTTACTTGCTGTTTTATTTAGATTTTTACGTGCTGTGTTGCCTGTTTTGTTATTGTGTTACCTGCTCTCATATAGTGTTACCTGTTGTGTTACTTGCTGCCATATAGTGTTACCTGTTGTGTTACCTGCTGTCATATAGTGATACCTGTTGTGTTACCTGCTGTCATATAGTGTTACCTGTTGTGTTACTTGCTGCCATATAGTGTTACTTGTTGTGTTACTTGCTGTCATATAGTGTTACCTGTCGTGTTACTTGCTGCCATATAGTGTTAACTGTTGTGTTACTTGCTGCCATATAGTGTTACCTGTTGTGTTACTTGCTGCCATATAGTGTTACCTGTTGTGTTACTTGCTGCCATATAGTGTTACCTGTTGTGTTACTTGCTGCCATATAGTGTTACCTGTTGTGTTACTTGCTGTCATATAGTGTTACCTGTTGTGTTACTTGCTGCCATATAGTGTTACCTGTTGTGTTACCTGCTGTCATATAGTGTTACCTGTTGTGTTACTTGCTGCCATATAGTGTTACCTGTTGTGTTACCTGCTGCCATATAGTGTTACCTGTTGTGTTACCTGCTGTCGTAGAGTGTTACCTGTTGTGTTACCTGGTGCCATATATTGTGTTACTTGTCGTGTTACCTGGTGTCATATATTGTGTTACCTGCTGAAATATATTATGTTACCGTTATGTTACCTTCTGTCATATAGAGTATATTATGATACTTGTGTTACCTGCTGTGTTACTTGTTCTGTTTCTGTGGTTCATTCTGAGTTGTCCGTCTTGATATGTTACGTTACCTGCAATGTTATGTTACCAGCAATGTTATGTTACCTGCAATGTTATGTTACCAGCAATGATATGTTACCAGCAATGTTATGTTACCAGCAATGTTATGTTACCAGCAATGTTATGTTACCAGCAATGTTATGTTACCTGCAATGTTATGTTACCAGCAATGATATGTTACCAGCAATGTTATGTTACCAGCAATGTTATGTTACCAGCAATGTTATGTTACCAGCAATGTTATGTTACCTGCAATGTTATTTTTACTGCAATGTTTACGTTACCTGCAATATTATTTTACCAACATGTTTGTTACCGCATGTTATGTTACCTGCAATGTTATGTTACCAGCAATGTTACGTTACCTGCAATTGATGTTACCATGGCATGTTATGTTTACCAGCAATGTTATGTTACCTGACGTTACGTACCAGCATATGATATGTTACCTGCAATGTTATGTTACCTGCATGTTATGTTACCTGCAATGTTTGTTACCTGAATGTTATGTTACCAAATGTTATGTTATCCTGCATGTTATGTTACCTGTAATGTTATGTTACCTGCATGTTATGTACCTGCAAGTTATGTTACCTGCAATGTATGTTACAGCAATGTTATGTTACCAGCAATGTTATGTACTGCAGTTACGTTACAGAATGATATGTTACCTGCATGTTATGTTACCTGCAATGTTATGTTACCTGCAATGTTATGTTACCTGTAATGTTATGTTACCAGCAATGTTATGTTACCAGCAATGTTATGTTACCAGCAATGATATGTTACCAGCAATGTTATGTTACCAGCAATGTTATGTTACCTGCAATGTTATGTTACCAGCAATGTTATGTTACCAGCAATGATATGTTACCAGCAATGTTATGTTACCAGCAATGTTATGTTACCAGCAATGTTATGTTACAGCAATGTTATGTTACCAGCAATGTTATGTTACCAGCAATGCTATGTTACCTGCAATGTTATGTTACGAGCAATGTTATGTTACCAGCAATGCTATGTTACCTGCAATGCTATGTTACCTGCAATGTTATGTTACCAGCAATGTTATGTTACCAGCAATGTTATGTTACCTGCAATGCTATGTTACCTGCAATGTTATGTTACCAGCAATGTTATGTTACCAGCAATGCTATGTTACCTGCAATGTTGTTACCTGCAATGTTATGTTACCTGCAATGTTATGTTACCTGCAATGTTATGTTACCTGCAATGTTATGTTACCAGCAATGTTATGTTACCAGCAATGTATGTTACCTGCAATGTTATGTTACCAGCAATGTTATGTTACCAGCAATGTTATGTTACCAGCAATGTTATGTTACCAGCAATGCTATGTTACCTGCAATGTTATGTTACCTGCAATGTTATGTTACCAACAATGTTATGTTACCTGCAATGTTATGTTACCAGCAATGTTATGTTACCAGCAATGTTATGTTACCTGCAATGTTATGTTACCAGCAATGCTATGTTACCTGCAATGTTATGTTACCAGCAATGTTACGTTACCTGCAATATTATTTTACCAGCAATGTTATGTTACCCGCAATGTTATGTTACCCGCAATGTTATGTTACCAGCAATGTTATGTTACTGCAATGATTTACACAATGTTAGTTACCTGCAATTTACGTTACCAGCAATGTATGTTACCTGCATATTTGTCCAGCAATGTTATGTTACAGCAATGTTATGTTACCAGCAATGTTATGTTACCAGCAATGTTATTAAGCAATGTTATGTTACCTGCAATGTTACGTTACCAGCAATGTTATGTTACCTGCAATGTTATGTTACCAGCAATGTTATGTTACCTGCAATGTTATGTTACCAGCAATGTTATGTTACCAGCAATGTTATGTTACCTGCAATGTTACGTTACCAGCAATGTTATGTTACCAGCAATGTTATGTTACCAGCAATATTATGTTACCAGCAATATTATGTTACCTGCAATGTTATGTTACCAGCAATATTATGTTACCTGCAAAATTATGTTACCAGCAATATTATGTTACCAGCAATGTTATGTTACCAGCAATATTATGTTACCAGCAATATTATGTTACCAGCAATGTTATGTTACCTGCAATATTATGTTACCTGCAATATTTGTCCAATGTTATGTTACTGCAATATTATGTTACCAGCAATATTATGTTACCTGCAATATTATGTTACCTGCAATGTTATGTTACCAGCAATGTTATGTTACCAGCAATGTTATGTTATCAGCAATGTTATGTTACCAGCAATGTTATGTTTCCATCAATGTTATGTTACCAGCAATGTTATGTTACCAGCAATGTTATGTTACCAACAATGTTATGTTACCTGCAATGTTATGTTACCAGCAATGTTATGTTACCAACAATGTTATGTTACCAACAATGTTATGTTACCTGCAATGTTATGTTACCAACAATGTTATGTTTCCTGCAATGTTACGTTACCTGTAATGTTATGTTACCTGCAGTGTTACGTTACCTGTAATGTTATGTTACCTGCAATGTTACGTTACCTGTAATGTTATGTTTCTGCAGTGTTATGTTACTTGCAGTGCTTCCAGCTGTGTTACTGGCTGTGTTTACTTCTTGTGATGCTTTAGAAAAACACGTAAGCAAACACTAAACAACGTTTCGGTCCTGGGACCTTGATCACATCTAACATACCTACGTATGTTAGAAGTGATCAAGATCCCAGGACCGAAAACGTTATCTAATAAACATGTCCTAGTGTTTGCTTAGTTTTTTTTTTAACCAACTTGTCGGTATTTATTAAGAAAGGTTTATACCACTTTCGGCGTTACCTACTGAATGTGTGTCGCTCGTGTACCTACTGACTTCCTAAGCACCATGAAAGACCTAACGAAGGTTTCTTCCTCCGCGTTATTTGTTGTATACTTCAGACATACAAGTTTTAGTAAAGAAAACGGATTGTTTATTGTATAGCAAGCAGACAACTTATATTGTAGCAAACAGGCCACTTACTGATAATAACGGTATCGTTATTATGAAACATTTCGCCTACACAGTAGGCTTCTTAAGCCGAGTACAGAGGCAGCAGAGGCAGCAGAGGCAGCAGAGGCAGCAGAGGCAGCAGAGGCAGCAGAGGCAGCAGAGATGTAAGGACAAGGTAATCAGTCCATCAATCTTTTCAAGATTGATGGGCTGATTACATCAATTCAAGGCTGAGGGACTGATTACCTCAAACTCCTCCTGTTCTTCACCATTCTCCTTTATATGGACTTATGAAGCCACTGTGTGGCGAAACGTTTCCTCATTAAAGATACCCAAGTGTTGCACATGTGTCTAATTTATCGACTTGTCGGTTCTCTGAACCATTCATCTACATAGGCTGATGAAGTCTACTGTGTAGGCAAAAAATTTTGAGAAAAAAGCTACATAACTGTCGCATATGTATCTAACTTATCAACTGGTAGGTATTGTATACTGTTATCGTATTCACATACCACTTATTGAAGAACAAATGAACTCAGTATAGTGTAGCCAAGACAATCATTTTGGTGCAGTAAATTAACCATTTATATTATTCATTATGGTATTCTTATCCTCACCTCACTTGTGTTGTCTGAAATACCATCAACACAACATGAATGGCATACAATATCTGCAAGACGAAGAATTATAATCTTGCAATGTCTGGGTATATAATTCTTCACCATGGTATAAACCTTGGTAATAAATACCGACAAGTTGGTTTAGAAAGACACGTAAGCAAACACTATAACATATTTATTAGAAAACGTTTCGGTCCTGGGACCTTGATCAAGGTCCCAGGACCGAAACGTTTTCTAATAAATATGTTATAGTGTTTGCTTACGTGTCTTTCTAAACCAATTCTTCACCATAAACACTTATAAAGCATTAGACATATGTGCAACATTTGGCTGTTTTTATTGTTAACGTCTACAGTAAAGATGTTAAATTAGACACATGTGCAACTCTTGGGTATCTTTATTGAGGAAATGTTTCGCCACACAGTGGCTTCATCAGTCCATACAAAGGAGAATGGTAAAGAACAGGAGGAGTTCGAGATAACCAGTCCCTAAGCCTTGAGTCTCCACTGTGTGGCGAAACGTTTCCTCATTAAAGATACCCAAATGTTGCACATATGTCTAATTTATCAACAGATCTGGGGATGCTGCAGTTAGTAATGGGTTAGATGTTAAGGTATCTGGTGCAGGAAATGTATCCGGCCATCAGCACTTAAGGTTAAGAATCCTCGGTCACACACGGCGACCTTAACGCTTACAGAATTAAAGATAGAAATACAACATCGTGTGAGACTAATTTCCATAGAGAAAGAGAGATGTTAGTTTATTTGTTAAGGGAAGAGGAGGAAGGGGAGGTGTAGTAGGGAGAGGGGGAGAGGGAAGGGGAAGGGGAAGGGGAAGGGAAGGGTGGTGGGATTCTGAGAAGAGGATAAATAATATCAAAGGGGATGTTTATTATAGTCAAGAGGATGTTTATTATGGTCAAAATGTTTATTATCAAGAGGATGCTAATCGTCAATGTGTTTATCAAGAGAATGTTTATTATCGTCACGAGGATGTTTATCAAGAGAATGTTTATTATCGTCACGAGGATGTTTATCAAGAGGATGTTTATCAAGAGGATGTTTATTATCGTCACGAGGATGTTTATTATCAAGAGGATGTTTATCAAGAGGATGTTTATTATCGTCACGAGGATGTTTATCAAGAGGATGTTTATTATCAAGAGGATGTTTATTATCGTCACGAGGATGTTTATCATCAAGAGGATGTTTATTATCAAGAGGATGTTTATTATCGTCACGAGGATGTTTATCATCAAGAGGATGTTTATTATCAAGAGGATGTTTATTATCAAGAGGATGTTTATTATCAAGAGGATGTTTATTATCAAGAGGATGTTTATCATCAAGAGGATGTTTATTATCAAGAGGATGTTTATTATCAAGAGGATGTTTATCAAGAGGATGTTTATTATCAAGAGGATGTTTATTATCAAGAGGATGTTTATTATCAAGAGGATGTTATTATCAGAGGATGTTTATTATCAAGAGATGTTTATTATCAAGAGGATGTTTATTATCAAGAGGATGTTTATTATCAAGAGGATGTTTATTATCAAGAGGATGTTTATCATCAAGAGGATGTTTATTATCAAGAGGATGTTTATCATCAAGAGGATGTTTATTATCAAGAGGTGTTATAAGGATGTTTATATCAAGAGGATGTTTATTATCAAGAGGATGTTTATTATCGGCACGAGGATGTTTATCAAGTAGATGTTTATTATCAAGAGGATGTTTATTATCAAGAGGATGTTTATTATCAAGAGGATGTTTATTATCGGCACGAGGATGTTTATCAAGTGGATGTTTATTATCAAGAGGATGTTTATTATCGGCACGAGGATGTTTATCGTCACGAGGATGTTTATTATCAAGAGGATGTTTATCATCAAGAGGATGTTTATTATCAAGAGGATGTTTATCATCAAGAGGATGTTTATCATCAAGAGGATGTTTATTATCAAGAGGATGTTTATTATCGGCACGAGGATGTTTATCAAGTGGATGTTTATTATCAAGAGGATGTTTATTATCGGCACGAGGATGTTTATCGTCACGAGAATGTTTATTATCAAGAGGATGTTTATCATCAAGAGGATGTTTATCATCAAGAGGATGTTTATTATCAAGAGGATGTTTATTATCGCACGAGAGTTATAGTGGATGTTTATTATCAAGAGGATGTTTATTATCGACACGAGGATGTTTATCGTCACGAGGATGTTTATTATCGTTAAGACAATGTTTATTACCATGTTTGCTGAACGTTTCTGCTGTCATTCCTGGTTTCGTTCATTACAAAGCTGCATCGAGTCACTAAACAACGTTTCTCTCATCACTGGGCGAAACTTTGCCAGAGGAAAAGCTTGTTCTTTATTATCTGCCTTCTGTCCCACACTTGGTCCTCTACGTCTCTAATTGTTATAGATTATTTTTTTTTCTCCCACGGTACTCGGCCTTTTAATAATGCATTTCTGAATACCTTCTTAAGTAGTTTAATTTTGACCTAAACAAACGTCGTTTCCCCCAGAGAAACAACAGAACTGTTACTGTTTGACTTAATGACTCACACCCCTTTCCTTCGCCGTTTTACTCTCTTCTTTCACCTCTTACCTTCTCTTAAAGCCACTATATTTACATCTTACAGTTTACCAAAAGTTAGGCAGGAAATTTTACCCTCTTTTTCTACTCTTTTTCATTATCTATAAGTCTTTATCATTCTTTTTTTTATCGCACTAGCCTTTTCTTTTGTCATTTATATCGACCATTTTCTTTCGTCATTTCTATTGGCCATTTTCTTTCAGTTATGGTAATGGTTCACTGTCATTTTTATCCTAGTTTTTCTCCTTTTCTTGTAGTTTCATTTTTATTCCTCAAAATTTCTTTCAAAGCTGAAGTAAACGATTGTTTAATACGAATTATTATTTCCATTATTATTATGATGATTATTATTATTGAGGAAGAATAAAATGTTACAATACCGTGGCTGGAACGATGCACAAATAACCCACACTTTGGAGAGAAACGTATGACGACGTTTCGGTCGGTTATTGTTTTCTAGAGGAAGTGCAAACTACCGAAGAATGAGGAATGAAGAGTGGGAGGCAGTTTGACCTAAGAAAGTGGAGGGTTGCTCCAGTTTCCTGGATTAAGAACCATCGTTATGCGAATATCCTGCTTTGTCTTGGTTAATCCTTTGAATGATCTAGCTTCTAATGAAGCTATCTCTCACTCTCTCTCTCTCTCTCTCTCTCTCTCTCTCTCTCTCTCTCTCTCTCTCTCTCTCTCTCTCTCTCTCTCTCTCTCTCTCTCACTCTCTGCTTAAGACCACAACATATCAAGCAAATGTTCAAACCATCACATAGGAAATGCTTCAGTGAGCTCACTGTCTCAGTTCCCCAGATCTGCCAATGTGTGTCTGGCTTGCGGTGTCCCTGAGAATATTTGGTCCCTTTTTCGACGCATCACCGTGCCCTAAGGGGAAAAAAATATGCAGGAATCAACCCCATTGTTGTTGGCAGTATCCTCCGACGTCTTGTTGTCAGGGTTGCCGTGAGGACTAAGTCATGATGCAGCTGCAATGGCTAAATTAATTCATCTTAGTTTTTGAGATTCAACATGGCTTTGAGGCAGCTGCCCACCCAAAACCGGCGCGATTTTACTAATTTAGCAGAATAAAAAGACCTGGTTGAACTGGACTCTGTCACTGCTATACACTTGGTCAAAGGAGATACTATACTCTGTGCAGTTTATCAGTATTCGTCCAATCGGGTTACAGTGGTATTTCAAAACTCCTATTGTACACCTCGTGTGGAGGTGTACATTAGAAGTTTCAAGGTACCACTGTTTCTGTTTCGAGGTACAACTGTTTATGTTTTCAGGTACCACTCTGTTTGTACCTGGTAATTAAAGAAGTCACACTGCCTGGTTCTTGGAGGATGGCGATCTGCAGAGCCTCTCTCCGAGGACATTGAGAAAATAAAGTTTTGGGAGAAAATCTACGATTATCTTTAAACCTTACCAAATGGGAAATAATTTCTTGCAGCTGACAGATCACTGACTTTTTGCCATGCCAGGAGCGCAAGTCATTGATCCAGTCGACAGCAGTCTCCTTGGCCCTCTGCTTCGTTCCACCAACCGATCTGGTTCTCGAAAAAAAATTCTGTCCTCAGGAGGAAAGAAGGTCGGATTGGAGACATTGCTTTATATCTGGAGAGCATACCTGGAGAGGGTTTCAGGGGTCAACGCCCCCGCGGTCTGGCCTGAGACCAGGCCTCACCAAATGCTCCTACCATGAAAAATCCTGACACCTTTCAAAAGTCCATATTAGAGTTCTGCATCTTTCCCTAGAAGACAGAGGTTGCAAGCCACTGTCTATCAGACTTAGTGGATTGGAAATATATACAGCCTCCCAAATCGCCCTGCCAGTCTTCTAATTATCCTCCAAGGCATCAAACGAATGAGAAAAAAACAATTTCTTCCAGACGACCTGCGTGTTGTAGCACTAGAGGTAATGGCTCTTTACTAGGGCCATTACCTCTAGGGCCATTACTTCTAGGGCCATTACTTCTAGGGCCATTATCTCTTGGACCATTACCTCTAGGGCCATTACCTCTAGGACCATTATCAATAAGGTTTACATGGACTCAACTGTTCAAAATCCAAGACATGCAAGACACAAGGGAGTCCAAATCATCAAGATGAGTCTCGTTACGTCTGAGTACCAGGCTAGAAAATAACCCGGTGAACCCCAATAATCCGCTAACAGCCTAGATGGGATGGCACACTGTTGCTGGAAAATATGGCATATTACTAGAGTGGGACTATACCTGACTATCCACTTTGGCTGATACCTACATCCCTCACAGAGAGACGCTGCCAGTCACAGGGAAGAATTCAAACTAAACAATAACAGGAACTAGAATCATCAGTACCAATTTGTTCCAGTAGTATCAGGGATCTTGGGACTGCTGGGAAAACGTGAAGGAGGCTTCTTCATGGAAGTAGGTTCCAGGCTCAACGACACCACTAGGGATATAAGAACTGCCACCTCCCTATTCCAGTGTGTAAGTGAGACCGTCCATAGGGAATATGTCTGCTGCTGCAGTCTGAGGAGCTGAAGGAAATTCATTATATATATATATATATATATATATATATATATATATATATATATATATATATATATATATATATATATATATATATAAACAACACTGCGACTAGCCAATGATTCGAACCCATGTCGTTTTGGCCCACCTCATGGAAAGTGAAAATCACACATGACGGTCTAACCCACTGAACCGCGCAATCCTACAAGAATAAGACATCCAGCAGAGCTAGGTGTTTTTACCGTCATCCAAGGACATACGGTGGTGTGGGTGCCTTTCAGCTAATTTTATTCTACTTCCCGTTTGGTGTACTAGCCTCCACAAGCAGTGTATATATATAATTGCGTGGTCCTGTGGGTTAGAGCGTCATGTGTGATTTTCGCTCACCATGAGGCGGGCCAAGGCAGCATGGGTTCGACTCCTTGGCTAGTCGCAGTGCCATTGGTCAATACCTCTCGTTCGTGGGTACAATAACATTATATATATATATATATATATATATATATATAATATATATATATATATATATATATATATATATATATATATATACATGAGAAAATAGTAGATAGAGAGAGAGTAGAAGAGAGAGTAGCAGTAAGACAGGGATTGTAGAACAGACAGCAGAAACAGACAAGCGGTGGAATTAGAGCTAAGTTGAACATTTCCTAAGGTAAAAAAATTCTGAACTTTTTCCATTGTAAGTCAGTATATACCCTCTTTAGTTTAAATAAATATATTTATCATATATATATATATATAAATTAATACATGAGAGAGAGAAGAAAGCAGCAGAAGAAAGAGCAGAGCAGAAACAGAGAAAGAAGCAGGAGACAGAAAGCAGCAACAGCAACAGCAGACAGCAGAAAAGCAGCAGGGCGAACTACAAGCAAGCTTAGCACAGTTCACAGCTAACAACAACAAACAGCAGCTGAAAATCAGCAGTCACATGCAGAGAAAAGCAACAGACAGAGCAGCAACAGCTAGAGCAGCAAAAACAAGAGCAGCAGCAAAGAGAAACGCGAGCAAACAAGCAACAGCACCAGCAGCAGCAGCAAACAGCAGCAGCAGCAACAGCAAGCAGCAGCAGCAGAACAGCAGCAGCAGCAACAGCAACAGCAGCAAAACAGCAGCAACAGACAACAGCAGCAGCAGCAGCGAGCGCAACAGCAAGGCAGCAGCAAGCAACAACAGCAGCAGCAGCAGAAAGCAGCAACAGCAGAACAACAGCAGCAACAGCAGCAGCAACACAGCAGCAGCAGCAGCAGCAGCAACAACAGCAGCAGCACAGCAAAGCGCAGCAGCAAAACAGCAGCAGCAGCAGCAACAACAACAGCAGCAGCAACAGCAACAGCAGCAACAGCAGCAGCAGCAACAGCAGCAGCAGCAACAGCCAAACAGCAGCAACACAGCAGAACAGCAGCAGCAGCAACAGCAACAGCAGCAAGCAGCAACACCCAGTAGCAACACAGACAGCAGCAACAGCAGCAGCAGCAGCAGACAACACAGCGCAGCAGCAGCA